GGAACATGTGTAGAAACAGATATTTATTATTTTTATTTCATTTACTAATATTAATATTTTTCTGTTCTTTAACTATTTATTATGGATTTCATCCTTGGATAACAAATTTAGATGCTTCTGATCACATGATTGGAGATATTCATGCTCTAATCAAATACCAAGAGCTCCCAACTCCAAATTTGTTAAGCTTACTAATGGATCTTATACCAGGTTATTGGGAAAGGAGAAGTAAAAGTCTCCAAATATATTCAGCTCTTTTTTAGGTTATATGTTCCCCAATTAGATTGTAACTTACTTTCAATTAGCAAGCTTACTCATGACTTGAACGCTATTACTAAGTTTTATTCTAAAATTAGTGAATTTCAGGTGGTGGATTAGGGAAAGCTAATTGACAATGTTAAATTTAATCAATATTTATATTTGCTCAAAATAAAATTATTCTCTTAACACAATTTTGTTCTTCACCATCATCTCAAGAGTGTTATATATAATTCTGTTAAAAGTCAAGTTTTATTATAGACATTATCGTCAGGGTCATCCTAATTTCAATAATGTTGCAAAGTTATATCATCATCTCTTTATTAATAAAAACTCAGAGTTTTATTAATGTGAAACATGTCAATTGTCTAAACACACTCGTCATTTCTACCATGTCTCAATACAAACCCTCACAACCTTTCTCAACCACCCGCATTGCATTTGGGAACCATCAAAACTGAAATCCATCAATGGAGCCAAATGATTTGTCTCATTTATTGATAATAACACTAGAACTAGTTGGATATTCCTCATGAAAGAAAAATCTAAAGCTGCGCAAAAATTTCAAACCTTCCATAGCATGATTTCCACCTAATTTCAATGCAAACTTTATATTCTAAAAACTCATACTGCAAGGGAAAACTTCTATTATATTCTTGGACCGTAACTTACAAAGAATGGTATCATCCATGAGAGTTCCTGTATGGAAACTCTACAATAAAATGAGATAGCTTAGAGGAAGAATAGACCAGCATGTCAATTGTCTAAACATACTTGTCATGTCTACCATTGTCTCAATACAAACCTTCAAAGTCTTTCTCTATCATCCACATTGCATTTGGGAACCATCAATGGAGCCAAATGATTTTTCTAATTTATTGATAATAACACTAGAACTAGTTGGATATTCCTAGGGCTGTAAACGAGCCGAGACTGAGCGAGCTCAGGCCCGGCTCGTGTTCGGCTCGCTCGAATCTGGCTCGTGTTCGAAATCGGCTTGTGTTCGAAATGGCTCGTGAACAGTGTGTTCGTGTTCGGCTCGAATAACATTTTCATGTTCGTGTTCGGCTCGTGTTTGGCTCGAAAATGGCTCGTTAGAATATAAAATTATTTAATAAATATTATTTTTTTTAAAAAA